ATGTTAGTCAAGCTCCTTTCCTATGGTAGTGGATCTCCAAATATGGCCAATTGGTGCCTTCCCTCTTTATATCAAGTAGAACAACAAGACCAAGGCCAGATGAAAAGAAGGGAACATCTTTTTCCCTCTCTCAAACTGTTTGAGAACGAGTAATGCAGAATCCCTGTGGTGGCTTCCTTCGTGGTCATTTTAAATATTTGCTCTTGAGACGTTCCTTCTTGGAATCCATCTGCCATGCTATGAGAAGCCAAAGCCACTGGAGAGGCCATGTGCAGATAGGCTGGTCAACAGCCTCAGCTGAGCTCCTGGTCAGCAACTAGCATCACCTGCTAGGTGATGAGCCTTCCTGGATGCACAGCCCAGTCAAACCTTCAAATGACCCCACCTCCAGCTGCCACCCACCTACAACCATGTGAGCCCCAAGTGAGAACCACCCCGTGGAACCTAGTCAACCCATAGGAGAGCGAGAGAATAATAAGTTGCTTTTTCAAGCCCCTAGGTTTTAGGATGGTTTGTTACACAGCATAAATAACTGGACCACTCTCCATTGGCATATTCAGGACCCTCAGGTTGTTCTTGGGGTATTAAATAAAATTATGATTGTTTCTTCAGTGGCCTTGGCTCTGAGATGGGGATATTGGATTATTTTCTTTTTAAGGAATTGTCTTATTATTTCATAATTTTTCTAATAACTTATCTTAGTCTGTTCAGGCTGCTAAAGCAAAAATGCCATAGACTCTGTGGCTTAAAAACAATAGAAATTCCTTTTCACAGTTCTGGAGGCTGGGAAGTTTAAGGTCAAGATGCCACAGATTGGGTGTCTGGTGAGGGCCTCCTTCCTAGTTCATAAATGGCTGGCTTCTTGCTGGATCCTCACATGGTAGAAAGGCAAGAGAGCTCTGGGGTGTCTTTTTATAAGGACACTAGTCGCATTCCACATGACCCGGTTACCTCCCAAAGGCTTCACCTCCCAACATCATCACATTGGGGATCAGGATTTCAACATGTAAATTTGAGGGGGAACACATTAAGTCCATACCATTCTACCCCAAGATCCCCAGAACATATGCCCTCTTGCATACAAAATACATTCATTCCATCCCAATAGTCCCCAAAGTCTTTATTCTAGCATCACTTCTAAAGTCCAAAGTTTATCTAAATATCATCTAAATCAGATATGAATGAGATTAAAAATACCATTTATCCAGAGGCAAATTCCTCTCCAGCTGAGAACCTGTGAAACCAAATAAGTTATGTGCTTCCAAACTACAGTAGTGGGAGAGGTATAGGATAGATATTTTCATTCCAAAAGAAGAAATGTGAAATAGGAAAGAAGAAAAAGGTAATGGTCCCAAGTAAGTCTAAAATATAACAAAGGTAATGGGTCCCTAGTAAGTCCAAAATATAACAAAGGTAATGAGTCCCAAGTAAGTCCAAAATATAACAGGGAAAAACTGTTATAACAGGGCAAAACAGCCTTAAACTGTAAGGCTCTAGAATAATTCTTTTTGGCTCAATGCTCTGTCTTTTAGACCCACTGGGGCAGTAGCCCCACCTCCACAGGTCTCCTGGGCTGGAGTCATGCACCCATGGCTTTCCTGGGCTGATGTTCTGTCTTCCAGGCCCATCTGGGTGGCAGCATTATCCACACAGCTTGACGGGATGGCCCCACAGCAGCTTTCTCCTGTGTCCCCTGGGGCTTTCCCAGGCTGGGGTTCCTTGCCTGCAGGTTTTCTGTGTAGCCCAGTCCCCCATGGCTCTGCTGAGTGCAGCCCACATTGCAGCTGTCTGTGGGGACCTCATCCCCAAGGCACTGGGCAGGGGCATCCTGGCCTACCTAAACTGAAGAGATGAGTTGATCCTTTAAAACTGTTCTGCTCTACCACCACATGGCCCTTGCATTCTGGACCTCTGGTACAAGTGGCAGCCTTGATGAGCTCTGAATTGCTTTTGAATAATTCTTCCATTGTCTTGAAGAATAGTTCCTGGATTCTATTAAGATGACTCATCCATACTAATATCCTTATAAAACAGTAACTTGGCCACACTGTTAGTGGTCTTATTTTTTTTATTTTCTATTTTTTGCAATATGGATAGACTAAGAATTTTCCAAATCTTCAGGTTCTGGTTTCTTTTTGCTTAACAATTCTGTAGTCATGTTTTACTATAAGTAGTCAGGAGGAGCCAATCTGCACCTTCAACACATTGCTCAGAAATTTCCTCAGCTAAATAGTTAATTTCATCGCTTGCAAGTTTTACCTTTCACAAAATACTAGAATACAAACACAATTCAGCCAAATTCTTTGCTACTTTATAGTGAGGATCAACTTTCTCCAGTTTCCAGTAATATAAGTCTCATTTATGTCTAAAAGTCACCAGAATGGCTTTTACCATCTATATTTCTACCAACATTCTGTTCAGGATTATTTAGGTATTATCAAGGAAGATTGAGGCTTTCTTTATAGCTCTCTTCTTTTCTTTCTGAGTCCTCACCAAAATATCCTATACAGGCCTGGTTATAGCATTTTAGGCTTTTTCTTTTCTTTGAGATAGAGTCTCACTCTGTCACCCAGGCTGGAGTGCAGTGGGGTGATCTCGGCTCACTGCAGCCTCCACCTCCTGGGTTCAAATGGTTCTCCTGCCTCAACCTCCAGAGTAGCTGGAATTACAGGTGCCCACCACCATGCCCAGCTAATTGTGTGTGTGTGTGTGTGTGTGTGTGTGTGTGTGTGTGTGTGTTTAGTAGAGATGGGGTTTTGCCATGTTGGCCAGGCTGGTCTCAAATTATTAACTTCATGAATCACCCACTTCAGTGTCCCAAAGTCCTGGGATTACAGGCATGAGCCACCACACCCAGCCAACTGAGGCTTTTTCTAACATATATCTCAAAACTCTTCTTTACCCTGTAAGCCACTTTCACGTTTTTAGTTGTTGATTACAGCAGCATCCTACTTGCAGTATCAATTTCTGTCTTAGTCTGTTATAGTTTGCTATAACAAAAATACTATAGACTATGTGACTTATAAACAACAGAAATTTATTTCTCACAGTTCTGGAGCAAGCAAGTCCAAGATCAGAGTGCTGGCAAATTCAATATCTGGCAAGGATCTGCTTTCTAGTTCATAGATGGCTGTCTTCCTGCTATGTCTTCATAGCAAGAAGACAGCCATCTTTGAACTAGATCTCTGGTCTCTCATAGAGCACTGATCCCACTCATAACCTAATCAACCTCCCAAAGATCCTGCCTCCTAATAACATCACTGCGGCATTGATCATGTCAGAGACGCTACCTGAGATGCTGATCAGCACTTCCAGAGGTCTGTCCTGCAGACCCTGGTTCAGCAATGGATGAATAAATACACTCACACACAAAGTACAGTGAATTGAGTGGGCTAGAGAGGTCATCAGCTGCTCTCAGAGGGCAATTGTAGCTAACCAACCCCTACTTGCTGTTCGCCCTCGCATTTATTCAGTATAGATTTAATAACAGAGGTTCTAAGTCAACATGCTTGTGGATAATTAACATGGTTAAAAGAGTGGTTTTACGAATGACAAAAGGTTTGGTTCCAGAGCCCAGAGCAAACACCATTAACTAGTAATCCCCCTTCAACCTCCCCGAGAGAGCTATCCAGCACAAAGTTTATATGAGTAAACAAGTAGGTAGAGTAGAGACAAAGGAATGTAGGGCCGAACAGACTTAACTGGGGATGCTTCTGTTATCCCTAATCTTCACTCTATGACCTCAGGTTCTAAGGTAAGGACTGGCTGTCTTCAGCCTGTTCCATAAGTTAATAAAAACCTTTCAGCTTTCCAAAAGGTTTGAGACTATAATCTTACCACTTTCCCAAATATTTCCCTTAATATTTTGCCAACCACCCTGAGTGAATCTCTACACATCACATTGCGGGATCACCTGAGGTCAGGAGTTCGAGACCAGCCTGGCCCACATGGTGAAACTCCATCTCTCCCAAAAATACAAAAAATTAACTGGCCGTGGTGGTGCACACCTGTAGTCCTAGCTACTCAGGAGGCTTAGGCAGGAGAATCGCTTGAACCTGGGAAGGCAGAGGTAGAAGAGAGCAGAGAAAGCGAAATAGCAATCCAACCTGGCAACAAAGTGAGGCTCTGTTAAAAAAAAAAAAAAAAAAGAAAAAAAAAAAAAAAAAAAAAAAAAAAAAAAAAAAAACAACAACCACGAACAAAAAAAAAAAAAAAAAAAAAAACAACAACAACTGGATGCCCTCTGGAGCCTTGCTGTCTAGATTTGATTCTTGACTTCATTACTTCCTAGCTGTGTGTCCTTGGGAAAACTATCATGAGGCTTCACTTTCTCTATCTGGAAAATGGGAATAATACTAGTATATTTTTCACAGAGTAGTTGTGAGGACTCAGTGAGTTAACAGATATAAAATGCTTGGACAATGTCTAGCACATGGTAAGCACTGTACGTGGTTGTTAAAGCAATAAATGCATGTAACAATCTGCTTCTAACCAGAGAATATGCATTATTCTGGATGTGTCAATACATTTGTAACCAGTTGTACATCCCTTGACTCTAAGCAGGACCCTAATTTCTCCCCTGAGGGTTGAAGAAGGTGTGGGAGGTGGGGGATAATATGTTTTGATGAAAGATTGGGTCCATGAAGCATCCTGGGTTATAGTACTCATGAAAAAATTATGGAGTCAAAAATTGGGTCCATAATTGACAGGAATGGTCCCGGGAGCTTAATAAATGACATGGGAGACAGCAGCCATTTGAAGGGCATGCTGGTGACCATCCCTTAACATGCCTCCTTAAAGAAACTGTTCATCACTGGTTACTGTTGTTATACAAAGGTCTGCATTTGGAATTTGTGCAGCTTTTATAGAATCTTCCCCTTAAATATGAGATGTTTCCCTTTGGTGCATGACTGCAAAACAGATTGGAGTCGCTGAAAAGAATATGACACAAGCTTTTCCCTGGTATTGATTTTTTTTAACCTTCTTCTTTCACCCCAAAGCAAAGAGCCCAGCCAACAGCGAGTAAAAAGATGGGGCTTCTCTTTTGATGAGATATTGAAAGACCAGGTGGGACGAGACCAGTTTCTACGATTCCTGGAGTCTGAGTTCAGTTCAGAAAACCTCAGGTAAATCTCTCAGAGTTTGAGCTGTGTGCAGAATGTGTGTGAAGAAATTTGCATGATCGGTCTCTCCATCTCTCTTTCTCAATAAAACATTATCAGGGTTCAAATTCAAATGCCAGCTAATCTGGCTGAGGTTGAAATGGGGAAGAACAAATTAAAATATGCAACTCTGACTCCACCATAATAGCACCTACTAACACCAGCATGTTTTACTTCAAGTCTCTGTGACCTTTGTTCAACTAATTGGAAGTAAGTCTTCAATAATAATTAAATAGTCAAACGGATTTGATGACATTATTCATTAAGTACAGCCACAGAACCAGGAAGCTTCAGAGTGGAGAGGCAGCTCAGAGGCTCTCTCCTCCAAACTTCCCAGTCTAGGGACCTGAATGTCTGAGACGCTAAACAGAAGAGGGAGGAGTCAGTGGGCTCATTTCAGAATTTCAACAAGCAAAGTAAATACCACTCAATAACCAGAGATGTAACTGTAGCAGCTACGTAACTGTAGCAGCTAATAAAAACATGCTTTTTTCTTTTAGAACAACTTCTGTCAACTCCAAATAGTGGTTACTCTGATCATCTGATGTCAGTGAGAACATCTGATTGATCCTGTTGTTCTATAACTGGTACTTGATGAGAATGTATTAATAATTACTGTTTAATAGGAGAAAAAAATAAGATACTCAAAACCTCAGGTCCAATGTGAGAGGAAGAAAAGGGGGCAAATTAAAAGTAAGATCTCTTTGGTCATGAAAAATTGGGGATCTTGTTTATTTAGACTTTTATCGCATTGGATCAAGAATCAGAAATCTGAAGAAAATGTGACTTATCTAAGACTTACCTAGTGATCTTAGCAAACTGGTGATTTCTTAATGGGTAAGATGGAATCTCTCTCTCTTTTTTCTTTGTGCCACGTTCTGATTTATATAGCAGAGTAACACTCATCTTCCAGTGCTGTTTTCTTTAAAGATGTTTTAATAATGTTTAAATATTTTATTACTTTAAAAACTCAGAGCATGTACTGCAAGCAAAGGACTGCCCCTCCAAAGTTAACGTGTAACATCCATCTACTTAGTTGAAGTTGAGACCATCTCAGTCCCATATGTCAATCAAGTGATATTTATGCCACACCTGTGCTGTATCAAGCCCTGTGAGAGTCTGCTGAGAGACGCAAGTCAAGATGTGTGATCTTTGCCTGCAACGACCTTGTAGGTCCTTGAGGAAAAAGCATAAGAAGTGATTAAATCGTTGAATGTCTATAAATGAGTGTAAAACTCTAAGAACCATTTTGAAAGCATTTAAAGGAGAAGAATCAATGAAAGCTGAAGTGGTTAAATCATAAGCTGGACTTGAAAGAATATACAGGATAACAGTAGACAAAGAAGAAGGAGAGAGAATACTCCAAGCTGGAGGACCAAATGAGGAGAGGGGTGGCCGTGAGACTCTCCCACGCTGTAAGCTCCTGGGAGGACGCATAGATGCTGACTAGCTGTACGGAGCACACCATTCTAGGCATCCATGTGTCTGTTGTAAACCAGATAAGGCTGAGAATCTTATTTTGGGTTATGATACAGGCACCTTTCCTTATGCTAAAGCATGATTCCAAACACTTCAGATCTTTGCTTCAATGCCTGATGAAGTATTTGTAACAGAAGGTTTGACTTCTCATACTCTTCACCAGGGTGGTGCCCAGACTAGCTTCCCGGGCATAGGAAGGAAAGCCCTCTGTGGCCAGCTTGATGGACCCAGGCGGTCTCTTTGTGTAGGCAGCTCAGTCCCAGTTTCTACCCCCACCATGGCCCCTATGAGCCATCTCTGGGAGTCTTTTTCATCTCCCCTTCTTATCTGTTCCTCTTGTGTCTCCAAGATGGAGTGGTATAGAGTCCCCCTTTACCTAACTACATCTCAGCCCACAGGTAGCACTGCCTGCACTATTGCAGAGAGCTTGAAGAATGACCCAGGATTTGGTCATTGTGAGGGTCCCAGGAGCATCCACTGGCTCAGCTACTGCCTTGCCTGGTTAGAGCATTTATTCTGGAAAGCCCCGAGTGTAGTCAGAACCACACAGCAGTTCAGACTACTTTCACAAATTATGCATCACACTTAAGGCCTGGAGTGCACCGAGGAGTGTGTCCCTGGCAGGTGTTCAGTGCTTCCTCCTGCCATCACCTCCTGCACCTCTGCCAGCTCCTTTCCCTGTGCCAGGAGGACTACATTTAATCTTGGGTGAACGCCCACGTGTAAGCATGTGTCTGTGTACCAGAGCCTAAGCCACACCCCCTAGCATGCAGAAATCCAGACTTCAGAGGGTCACCCCTGATCCATGACAGGAAAGGGAGTAAGGAAAATAGAATAGGGAGGAAAAGGAGAGGCAAGAGCCTCTGAAATCCTCTCTGAATGCCCAGATTCCATTTTTATGATATTCAGCATGACTGGCTACATGATGGGTGGGAGAGAAGCCCAGTTGTCAATCACATAACTGTAGGATTCTTCTGTCATCCATCACAGGATGGCCTCTTCCCCATTCCTTTAGCTGCAGATGCCGACGTAGCACCTACCGTCGCATGGGGTCTAGGATTCAAATCTGACTGCATAAATATCAGGGCAGCCATGCACAGCCATGCAGATGCACCTCCACCGTGGCCCATGCCATGGCGGCCCCTGGGAGTTGTGCAATGTGGCACAACTTGAGGGTCCTACCAACCCGTCACGTTGCCTCTGCTGGGGCCGTCCCTTCTCTGCAGGGTTGGTCAGAGACCCAGGCCACTGGCATTGTAGCATGGCAGGAAAAAGCCTGACCCAGAACTCACCTGAGTAAATTACAAAGTGCTTGTCCACTTCCTCTGTCCTCCTGTGCTCCCTCTTGTCTCTCCAGTGAAAGGGATGCTTAGATCATCACATTTTGCACAACCCACGGGGTGCCAGTTAAGTAGCCAAGCGGCTGAATTTGTATCAGAGCTTCAGAAGGCAGAACAGAGGAGAACCAAAGTGTCACCCTGGATCCTTTAAGGAATGACTTCTATGATGACACAATAGAATCTGAAGTCCCCTTTGATCAGTTTCTTCCGGGTGGGTCTGTGAGATGAGGGTGGGGCGTCATCTGCCTGGACTGGGTGGGGTATGGCCAGCAGTGCATTTCGCTGAAGCCGTGAGCTCTCTGTGCAAGGACGACCTCTTTTTCTCCTTCTCAGACCCACCCTGAGCCAGGTGCCAGCTCCCTTTGCCCTGAATGGAGCCACAGACAGCTGTTTGCTGAGTGCCTTGGGAATGCAGATGGCTCTGTCCACAGGGCAGGGGCCTCACAGCTCTGAGACAGGGAGCTCCGCTCAGTTTCTTGGCCTCATCCTTCCGCCTGCTTTGTGTATTTTCCCGGAATAGTGACAGTCACTCCTCGCCATCCATCTTTGTGCCCTCTCCCACATCTCCCCTACACAAATTTTTGTCCTCCCTGGCTTACACCCTCTGCTGCATGGCAGAGAATGAGTTAAAAATCAAAATCCACAGCCAGGAGTATCCCCTGTACATTTTTTATGAGCTGTAACATCTCCTGAGAGAAGGTAGTTGCTCCTGTAACCTGAAGATTGGTGATCTGAGTTCCACACAGTGTCGGCTGAAAGGAGAAGCAATTAAAAGGGAACACGGTGGGGTGCCAGGTTCCTCTCCAGAGCTCTAGTCTCTGGCAGGGGCCCTGACTCCGGACCTCAGAAGGTTTGCTAGGCCCAGCAGGACCCACCACTTACCAAACCCACGATTAATAGGAACAGCGATGACTCCCACGACACCACAACCATCTGCAGTGTTTCAGCCACTGCCCAGTGAGCAGAACTCAGCTTCACTGGTGCTGGGGGCGTTACTAACGTAGGTGCCCGGGAATTTCGGCCCCTCAGGGAACTAAACCAAGTTTAAGCCCTGTTCCTACGTCTCCGGTTGACCAGCAGAGGGCACAGAAACACTTTCTTCTCTCCCAGAGTTTGCTTTTTCTCTGGGAACAACCCAAAAGCTGTATTTGCAAACCCATGAAAATTCTAGTTTAGGAAAAGATATGTAAAGCAGTGACTGAGGGTCTGCCCAGACCTCCTGGCAGGATGGAGAATGATCAAAGGCCACACGATTTTTTTTGCGCAGCCAGCCTTGAGAGAAAATCCTATTCCTTGAAAGCCTCTAGGGAGAAAGGGGGCTCCCCCTGGGTGGCCCTCCCATCCTGTTCTCCGCTGCTTTGCCCCAGTGGTATCTGAGCCCGGGCTGCCTCTCTCCAAATGCCAGTTTCCCCACCAGTATTTCTTTTTTTTTTTTTTTTTTTTTTTGAGGTGGAGCCTCGTTCTGTGCCCAGGCTGGAGTGCAGTGGTGCAATCTTGACTCACTGCAACCTCCACCTCCCAGGTTCAAGCAATTCTCCTGCCTCAAGCTCCTGAGTAACTAGGATTACAGGCATGTGCCACCACACCTGGCTAATTGTTGCATTTTTAGTATAGACAGGGATTCTCCATGTTGGTCAAGCTGATCTCAAACTCCTGACCTGGTGATCTGCCCACCTCAGCCTCCCAAAGTGCTTGGATTACAGGTGTGAGCCACCGCACCCGGCCCCACCAGCATTTCTAAGTCATGAACAGGGATCAAGTGCCTGCACAGGAGCTGCCTCCCCACTGCTGCTATAACAATTGGCATGGACCAGGGTCAGGACAGGACAGGTGGTCTCCCAGAGACCAGTCCCTGTGGCCTGCCAGTCACAGCGGCCCTTCTGTAGCAAGCCACGGAGCTTAGTGCAGGATGGGTGGATTTGATGCAGTTGCTGGCATTTCACTCCCTGCTGCTGCCCTCGGGGAGGAACGGGACCTGTAGGTTAAGAGCAGAATCTTCCAAAGCCTCAACAGGCCTCCCGTGGGCAGCAGATATGCAGAGAGGGGCTGCTGTGGCTCTCTGCAGCGGGGAGGGTGGCCTGGGCAGCCTGGGCTCTGAGTTCCCGGCTCAGGCCTATGGGCTCGAAGATGGCCAGCCAACATGAACCAAAGCCTGTTCTGAATTTCAAATGGACACAAAAGTTCTTCAAAACCAGTGACGGTAAACGCATGGGATGTCAGGATGCTGTTGTGACAGCATTTTTGCTGTTGTCTGAGAGAGACAAGGCAGGTCAGCTCCAAGGCAGACAGAAGGCCAGGGAGAGTCCCCAGTGTGTGCAGGGAGAGAAAACTGCTGTCTAGGGAATGTTACCCCACACCGTCCCTCTGTTTCTTCTCCCCCTTCCCCCCTCCTTCCCTCCTTTTCTCTCCCCTCCCCTTCCTCTTCTTCCAGCACGCCTGTTGTTTTTCCTTGTACTTAAATAAATCTTGGTTTTATGTGACAAAGGAAACATTTTTATGTAAACATTTATTAAATTTGATTCTGGGGCCTGGTGTGATGGCTTGCCTGTCATCCCAGCACTTTGAGAGGCTGAGCGGGGCGGATCACTTGAGGCCAGGAGTTCGAGACCAGCCTGGCCAACATGGTGAAACCCCATCTTGATTAAAAATACAAAAATTAGCTGGGCATGGTGACATGCCCCTGTAATTCCAACTACTCAGGAGGCTGAATCACTTGAACCTGGGAGGCAGAGGTTGCAGAGAGCCAAAATCGAGCCACTGCACTCCAGCCTGGGCAACAGAGCAAGACCCTACCCTGTCTCAAAAAAAAAAAAAAAAAAGATTCTGAAATTTGTTTTTCCATCAGCTCTGGGTTATCTCTATATCCAGCTGAGTGATGTGCATTTTCATGTGGCCCCCAAATCATCCTGCAAAAAGGACCCTGAGCTCTCAGGAACCGCAGGGAGACTGCAGAGCTCCTGGGATTTTCGGGGCCTTCCCAGAGGGGCTCAGCAGCTCCTCCTCAGCACTGACAGAGATGGCAGAAGGCAGCCTCCCATGTGGCACTGATTGAGGGGCAGGAAATCACCCGGGTGTCATCCATTTGTGTGACAAGGTGCAGGGGCCCAGGGGGCGTGGGAAGACGCTGACCCAGAAGGTTGCTTCCAGCCAGGGTTCAGCCCAGGCACCTCCCTATGTGACATGGTGCTGAGGAGCACTCACTGACTTCACCTCTGGAGACTTGACTCCTTCTGGTCCTCGGAAACACCAACACTGGCTTCTTCCTTTAGAGCCAGGTTCCCCGTGTCTTTCACCTGCTTGTCAGACGTGGCCTTCCAGGCAGGGAAAGCCTTGTAGGTACTCTCGCCAGCAGATGGCCGTTTTCACCTTTAAGCCTCTCAGCCACTTCCTTCTGAGACCTGAGAGAGTGGACAGAGAGCCCTAAGGAACCTAGGCCCGGCCTGGGAGATGGAGGAAACCCGTGCCCCAGCTCGAGTGTCAAGGGCCTGCCTGAAGCTCCTTTCAAACCCTTCCTTCCCTGCCCTCTCTGGGCTCTGGATAAAGGAACATGACTGCTTTCCTCTCACCCAGAAGCCAGAAGGACCTGAGCACCCAGGACTTGGGGCAGTCAGAGAGCTGTGGAAGGGTAGGGGACGCCAGATGGCAGCAGCAAGAGCTGGGCAGCAGTGTCTGCCCGGTTCGCCTACAGAGAGAGGGCCGGAATCGCGGGGGGTCACACTGGGCCAGCGTTGAGCCTTTGGCCACCACACTGACCCCTCCTCAGCTCCCACTCACAGGACCTGAAAGCTCTGAGTTAAGTCTGGATGGCAAGTTTTCCCGAGCCATGTCACATATCCCTCCATCTACTCGATGCCCATTTTACAGATGAGGAGAGAGGCACCCAGAAAGGTACAAGATACGCATAAACAGGAGGAGGTCAGAGCCGGCTTCCTCATCTGATGGGAGTCATGAAGCCTTCCCTGCCTTGTCTCTGCAAGGTCACTGAGGGGTCCCTTTAAGGAAATCATCAGAATCCTAAATGGCCAAAAATGGCAAATTATGGGAAAAGTTGGAGCCCAGCACTTGGGGATGGGGTCACACACACGTGCACACGCACACACACGCAAACACACACCCCCCTCTTCTCACTTTGTGGAAATGGGGCTGCATTACTCCACTCTGCCACTGAGTGGCACCTTTGGGCCATGCACTTGGCTCCAAAGACATTGAACAGCAACAGAAAAACCTGTTTAACCTTAAAAAAAAAAAAAAAAAAAGCAACCCAGTACATCTTACTTTGGATGAAATTTGATGACAGATCAAATGCTCTGACCACACTTTCCACCATGTCGTGGTTCAGCTTGGCTTGTCCTTCTCTTTCTGTCGACTAGACTACCTGTGATTCCTGCAGCTGTGGGAACCAGCACGGGACCTTCTCTCTGACTCACCGGTGGGGGGGAGCTGGCCTGTCCGTTCATAGGGCAAAGGATGTGACACGCAGACCTGGGTCCTGCTGCAAGGCTGCCTTGGGAAGCGTCCTCTGGACCCGGTAGCTGTTGTCCAAGCTTTGGCTCTGGCTGCTGCAGCTCTCAGCAAAAAAGAGCTCATACACGGTTCTCCCACGGTCTGCTCCCTTGCGGACGCGGAGGGATTAAACAGGCAAATAGGGAAGTGCGCAGAAGTCTTCAGCGTATGCCTCTTCAGCACTGTTCCAGATGCGCCCATCTTCACTTTGAAACCCATGTATGGAGCACTTACTATTTACTAAGCCCCATGCTGAACACTGATCTGAACTGGCTCAGTTTCTACATCTGTAATAGGAATGAATAGGAATGGCCGCTTCATTCTCGCACAGATAGTCTTTATGATTCCAGGATCCTGTCTTTCCTTCATTTTGATGCCACCAATTGATCCCAACTAGATTTGACAAAGGGACTCACACTGTCTGTGTGGTAGCATGTATGTAGCACTGGGGTTCTCAGCCAGGAATGAGTTCATCTCCCAGGGGACATTGGGCAATGTTTGGAAACATGTTTAGTTGTTGTAACTTGGGAAGGGGGGGTTGCTACTGGCATCTAGTGGGTAGAGGCCAAGCTTGCTGCTGAACATCCTACATTATACACAACAGCCAAGACTTATCCAGCCCGAAGTAGCAGCAATAGTGCTGAGCTGAGAAACCTTATAAAGGGAGAGAAATCTCTTTCAGATAATGAGAAACACATTGATTTTTTAATATGCAGTTCTTTTCTGTCCTCCACAACAGTGGAACACCTTTGATATTTTCAGCCATCTCCATGGTCTTTGCAGCCTGTGTGGTGGCATCAAGGCAGCTAAGAGATGCAGCAGAATGGGTTTCATGGGCCGTCAGCTCTGGGGCCATCTCTGGCAAGATCCCAGTGCTGAGCCCTCTTGAACTGACTGTGTTTCTGCCCCCTCTTCAGGTTCTGGCTGGCTGTCCAAGATCTCAAGAAACAGCCCCTACAGGATGTGGCCAGGAGGGTAGAAGAAATCTGGCAAGAGTTTCTGGCTCCGGGGGCTCCAAGTGCAATCAACCTGGATTCTCACAGCTATGAGATAACCAGTCAAAACGTCAAAGATGGAGGGAGATACACATTTGAAGATGCTCAGGTTTGCTTATCTACTCAAGTGGTTGTCAGAAGGTGTTCTTTTGTCCACTTCATCACCTGACCTAGTAACTCAAGTCCAAGGCACTGTGGGTAGTCAAAATTTCAGATTTGGTTATTTATAGGTTCATCCATGGAAACCACGCCAGATAGATGCACAGCAAAATCCCAGGATTGTTTTCCTAGATGAGTTATGTTATTATATAGAAACAAAAATGTGCAGCTGTATGCTTTATGTATTCCAGGAAAGGCTCAAAGTGTTTTACAAAATCCAAAGCCTTGTCATAAGTCGGTGGTAGAATCTGGAAACCGTAACACAGCATTAGGAAAGCAGGTGTAGTGAGTTAGCAGGGCCGTGAGTCAGACCCACATCTGTCTACCTCTGAAGCCCGCACTGATAACTACCCCTTTACCCTGCTTCTGCAGTGATCTCCAACTCTGCAGTGAATATTTTTTAAATACATTTTTAAACACATTCCAGGCTCCATGCTATGTGGTAAGATACCACAAAGAACAGGCAAAACCCCTGTTCTCAACAAGGTTACCAGCAAGTGTGGGAGACAGACAAGTAAACGGGCAGCTTCAGCAGTGTGAGAAGTGCCCCAAACGGGTGAGCCCTAGGTTAAAGCAAGCCCGCAGGAGTGACCCCCAACCCTATAGGACACAATTAGGATGCTCACAGATGCTAGTGATGCTGGCTGAAGAAACGGAAACCACCCTAAACAGCAGACTAGACTTTCATGGCTGGGAGGTGCCATTTCTAAAAATAAGCATAGGATTGGTTTCTTATTTCCTGGCCCCTAATTTGTATTTCCTCTCGCCATCCCACACCCAGTGATAGGGCTTAAGATTTTGCTGTTGTCTCCTTGGCCACACTGATTTCTCTCACCTCTCGAGTCCCCAGTAGAGAATTTGGGTAGTTTGACCTCTTGCAGACATTATTATCTGATTGAAGAAATTCAGTGTAGCTGCATCAGCGCAAATAATGGTGTGAGAACACAGTGTCCCTTGTCGTCCGGATTTGCCTTGTCCTTTGCTGAGAGCTTCAAGATGGAAACACCTGCTAACCTTAGCACCATAACTTCTTCTCTCCTCCTGTCACAAATTCCATCAAATGCCTGTGCCAGTCATGAAATCGTGACTCCTTGATCCCCCTTGCAGCTTCAAAGCAGAATGTTTGAGTCATGAGAGCTCTTTGCTGAGATGTTTTTGCTTATGTGTATGTATGCATGCTTTCAAGCACCATATTGACTTGGCCAGAGAGGAGAGTGACAGGGAATTTCCGTGGGGGTTCCCTGCGTGGATGAGCTGAAGCCCAAAGCTGCATTATTCATGAAACACAAGAAGAGGGATACTGGTCAGAACCTTGATGCATCCAGCCTAGTATTACCACTTCAAGCATGACATCAGGAGAGATTTAATTTGTATCATGAAAACTTTTAACCACTTGGAAAAGTGGAAAGAGCAAAACAGCAAATCTTTATAAATCCTCATCCAGCCTCAGAAATCATCAGTATATGTCTGATCTTGTTTTATCTCTAGCCCCACCCACCTACTTTTTCACCTGCCACCAGGCGACTTTAAAACAAATCCAAGATATTGCATCATTTTATCTGCAACACTGAGATATGTATTGCTAAGGAAAATGGATCCCTTTGCTTTAACATTGCCACAATGTCCTTTATCTCCCTCCCCTCCCCACATCCCCTTGCAATTTATTTGATGAAGGAATTAGATCCTTTGTCCTGTAAAGATTTCCAAGCTCTGGATTTTTCTGACTGCAGCCATGTGGTGCTATTTAACATGTTCTTCTATCATCTCTCTTTCCTATGCATTAATTGTTTTAGCTATTCAATCAGATTTAGGTTTGATTTTTATGTACAAAACGACTTCATGGATTGTTGGTACTCTCCTATCAGAAGGCACATGTCTAGCCACCTCTCTTTTTGTCTTTTTTGCAGATATTGATGTCTATTGCTTATATCCATTCATTAATTAGAGGTTACAAAATGATGACATACTAAGTTTATCATTCTTTCTTTACTTAGTAGCTGGAATATTTGATAAAGAGAAACTTCCTTCCACCACTATGGGATTAACTAGCAGTACAGTTCACATGAGAAGAGCAGGATGAATGTTTGATTCTATCCCTTCATTTGCCAGTTTCCAGCATGAGTGGTTTACTGTTATCTTCCTATGGTAAACATTAGGGTCTATTGTTTTGATTTTACTATCTTTGTAAACTCATGGGTTTAAACATATGTGCTATGTTTTAATCCATTTTGCTGATTATTTTTATTAATGCTTAGATTGGACCATGTCTTTAGTTCTTTCTGACATAGCCCTAGTGGTCTTTGATGTCATCCAAATAGCAAGGAAGCTAAGATATTCCAGGCTTTGCCCTTCCCAGAATAAGCCATTTCTCCAAGCATCCCTGATTCTGCTTAGTGGGAAATGGTTTTCAGAGACTAAAATCTAGGCACTTAAGAGTGTTCATTGTTTCTGGTTTGTTTATCATTTCTGCCCTTTTCAGTTGACAGAGCTAGGAAATGTGTTGTTGTTCATAATAAAAATACATCATGAGTTCATACTGATTCTTTTAATTCAAATTCTGACCTGCGAGGGATTTTATTTAACCACTTGTTTCTTACATCTGTGCCTCTTTTCTCTATGCTAAGAATCCTGACGTTCAAGGGCACTGTGGATGATAACATAATTACTCATTTGCTTTATACTACACAGAACAGCCTCTAAACCACAACTCTAAAAGGAGAGCAACAATGTGACTCTTGCCTGGTTCTGCAGTTGCTGCATAGTATTCCACTGCGTGGAGGCACCATAGTTTAATCAGCCAATCCTCTCTTCTTGGACATTTATGTTGTTTCTAATTTCAGAAAGATTTGATGGAAGAAGTGGAGAAGTCAGCCTAATGAAAGTTAGATATTGACAAGAATATCCAATCTCCATTAGTACAGTGCTCTGCCATTTTCCAGGTACTTCTAAGTACATTACATCTCATTTCCACAGCAATCTTGTGAGGTAGACTAGAAATGAGGATGTCTTAAGCATCTCCATCTTCTTCATTATCTGCTAGGATTAGTCTCCATGAGTGGGAATAAAACAATCTTTCTAAGCCAATCCCTATTTTCAGCCCAATTCTCTATCGCTTCTTAAGTGTATTTCCATCATAATATACAAAGTGCTCCTTGCTAGCAGAGTGACCTTGAACAAGTTACTTAAATTCCCTAAGTCTTCCTTCCCTCCTCTGTAGAACAGAGATACAATGGAGCCTATGCATAGGGTGGAATGGGGACCAGGTGAAACGAAGCATGTCAACCGCTAGCAGTGTTTGCCCCACAGTAAGACAGAGTAAATACTACCATCTTATTTTTATAACGTCACTAATATTCTTTTTATGCTTTTATGTTGAATGTATTTGGTGAAAATTTTTAAATAATTTCATGTAATCTTAGCACGCAGAGATAACCCCTCTTTGGGCATATTTTCTTCCTTGATTTATGTGTGTAGCTACATGTAAGGTCTGTACAACAAAACAGCACAGACTGGGTGGCTTAAACTACAGAAATTTATTTATCATGGTTCTTGAGAGTGGGAAATCCAAGATCAAGGTGCCAGCAGATTTGGTTGCTGGTGAGGGCTCTCTTCCTGGCTTGCAGGTGGCTACCTTCTTGCTGTGTCCTTATAGCGGGATATGCACTCTGGTCTCTCTTCCTCTTCTTATGAGAACACTAATGCAATCATAAGCGCCTCTATCATGACTTCATCTAAACCTAATTACCTCCCAAAAGACCCACCTCCAAATACCACCACACTGGGCATCAGGGCTTCCACAATATGAAATTTAGAGAGACACAACATCATTCCACAACAGGGGATTTTACAAATAGGGTGATCCTGTAACCTGCCTTTTACCTAAAACCAGGGGTCAGTTAAAAAACTAAACTTTTTCTAAAAAGAGCCAGACAGTAGACATTGCAGGCTTTGTGAGTCCTATGGTCTATGTCACAACAATTCAATTCTACCATACAAAAGCAGCTACAATGCAGCAACACAGCAATGTAAACAGCATAAATGAGGACCTATGGCTGTGTTTATTTATGAACAGTGAAATCCAGCTTCATATAATTTTTCACAAAATATAATTTTTCCTTTCGTTTTCTTCAGCCATTTGAATCACAGGCCCTGTACTAAATAGTATGTCATGAAAATTATTGAAATGCTTCAAGAAATCCAGAAATCTACAGGATGGAGGATTGGGCATGATGGATATCAGAGAATAGGTTAGAGGAGACTTTGTTTTGACCCAGCCATGGCAGCACAGCAATCTGAATTGTGAATGTTTCTATATCAGGATTGAGTGTTGCAGAGCAGAGGTCAGCAGGTGCCAAAAGACTCACACTGCCTTACCTTCCTGGCCAGCACTGGCTGCCTGCCCCAGCAAGGGAGGTGAAGTTCGGAAGTTCCCAGGTATAAAAAGGAGGTTAAAATCCTTAGCAGACCATGACCAGCCAGGATGGCCTCGCTTGCTGACTGAGATTCTGCTCAGACCACTCTGTCCCTGGATTGTTAGTGCTGAGGGCGTGGTTGTCACACTGAGACCTGGAAAAGTGCCCATCCCTAGAGAAAGGCCAAGACTCTAGGAGTTCCTTCTAGAATTCTACATTTAAGTTCTTCAAACTTTCTCTTCTCAGTTTGCCCATCGGATAAATGGGGATGTTAACATCTCAGCCCTTTGAGTGGCCCATTGGGCTCAGGGACTCTGGGCGGCTTTCTCAGCTGGTCATGATGGTTCTCGTATACCTCTGTGGTGGTCATGTGCTTTAACATTAGTGCTCAGTAGCCTGGGTGAAAGTACAGCCAGATTTATGGATTCACTGGAGGCAGGGACTGGGGGTGGGTGCAGCCTCTCTGCAAGGGTTTTCTTTCTTATTTGACCACATGCATTGTTGGAGCCAAGTTAATTGCCTGTGTTTGCTTCCTGTGGAAATATTTCACAAGACACCCTGTCAGCATGGGCCCAGCATTTGCACTTGTGTTTTGCTGATCCATTTAGCTTTGAAAATTTGGGCCAAGACCAAATCTTCCATAAAGGTCTGTGGGCTGTGACCATAGCCCTCAGCTGTTTGCTGTGTTGTTCCAGTTTCATAGATTTAGCCTTGTGAGGGGAGAAAAAATATGGGCCACGATTACTTTTTTTAAAGGACTCAGTTCTTTATGCTACGGATTGAATTCTCTGTTCCTAACCGTGGGGCCTCGAAGGACCTACCTTGTCACCTACTTGCTATGTGGTCTCAGGCAAAAGCCTTGACCTTCTCTCCCTTAGTTTCCTCATCTGTAAAATGGGGGTGATTTCTTCTCTACAGCCTGCTAAGGATTTTAGAGAAATCAGATGAGCTAATAGCCCTGAAAAATCTTTGAAAAAGTAAAAAGTGCTATATATTTGTAACTGTGAACTCACAAAAATTAATGGCTTTAGAACTCTCTGGGGGGTCTCATAATTCCAAGCTGAATCCAAAAGAAATTCTCTCAAAGTATCTGCCCTTAGATGGGGCAGGGGGGAAATGCCAGAAAAGGATATAAGAACAGAATGTTCTGGTCCTAGAGTGCATCTTAAGGAATTTGAGATTCTCATCCTGAAGACAGTAGCAAAGCGTTGAAGGCTTTCACCTGGAAGTGGGTGAATCCCATGGTGATGGGGAGAGCGGGCTGGAGCCAGGAGAAAGATCTGAATCCTGGGGCATGTCATCTAAAGCTCTGCTGGCAGTTATTGGTGGAGAGAATTAAACCACAGGAAGTATTGAGAACCCACAGCTTCCTTGTAGGACATCTGCCTCTTTCCAAAGCCTCCACAGGCTCTAGAAGCGATAGGAATCAGCTGCCAGCACAGTGGCTGCTTGGCTTCCATTTTAAAAATCTCAGAGTATCCAAGGACATTCCAAGGACGATGGCCCTGGATCCATTCACTCATTTGTCCATCTGCCCATCCATCGACATCATGAGCATCCATTTTCCCATTCAGGTTGGGAGACCTTGACCTGTGGGGCATGAGGTTCTGTGCAGAGGGAAATAACACGGGAAATAGAAGGCCCAGATGGCTAGCCATCAGGCAGAGCTTATCTAAAAGCACATCATTCTTTACAAACAAAACAAACCAGACCTAAGAAAGCATTTCATTGAGATAGGATTGGATTGGAAATCTGTCCTTTAAATGGACCGATAGTGGAGTAGGACGAGCCAGCCCAGCCCCACTGGCTTTGGTCCTTGCAGTTCCCCACCTCACCTTCCTCTTTGCCCCAGCTCCACTGCTTTCCCGGTACCTGCGGTATCTGCTGAGGTGCCCCACCCTGCCCTGTACCTGGAGTGTCTGGGTCTTCCAGACTTCTGGATTTGAAAGTTCTTTCATGGGAGGAGAGATTTGGTCTTCTTTACCCTCTATAGGTTCCGACAGCACAAAGGGAATGCTGAATGCTGACAATTCAGTCCAGAATTGTAACATTCTTAGCTGTGCCTATCATCAAAGAAGTGGGGGACAATTTGTCCCTTAGCTTTCAACTTTGGAGAGCTTTGCCAGACAACTTTGGGGGGTACACCTAGTAGGTAATCAAGAAAGACGAGTTACGTTAAATTTCTACAATATGCCAATTCAGCAAAACTTGGAATACCCACTAAGTGCCAGATGTTCTAGACGCTGTGAATATCCAAAAGCATAGGTGGGCTCCTTTCCTTAAGTAGCCCTCAGCCTGACACACCAAAGCTCTCCTTGGCCATCATGAACTCATGAGAGAATCAAAGAGCATGCTGAAGGCCAGAATGAGGTCTGGGAGATAAAAGAGCTGAGAAAGATACTGTCAAGTCCACACCCACCATGAGCAGATAAGAGGCCGCTAGCAAAAAGTTTATATTATTACCTAAATGTGAATGTTTAAATAAGGAAGGCAAGGTTTCTATTATTTGCTTGGTTTAAAAGCCAAAGTCCAGTGGAGTATGATTTCATGTTTGCCCAGATTACTCAGAAGTAGAAGTCTTCCCAGCTGTTCATCTTTGCTCCAGTGGTGGAGGTGGCGGCATTGCGTGCCAGTATCACAAGACCACGCCAAGTTTCCTGGTATTAATCCTCTATTGGAGGGCATTTCCTGGTAGACTCTCATGCCAGACATATTTTAATAAGGGAGCCTGTGACACTGCTTGCTCTAGGGAAGTTACTCATTTTATCCTGTGGGTGGTTTTATTTTTGGGAGATGAACAGCAGAGGGAGGGATGCATTTTGCAAAGAATAAATCAGTCGTTTGTGATCCAGTTCTGTTTATTACCCGACAGACTAGTAGTTCAAAGATTTCAATTCCAAAATTTCTTGGTTGCTACTTCTGAGCATAGGTTCTTTACACCAAACCCCCAACCTCCTTGAGGAGGAAAAGGAAAACACTTTTCCGCGTTAATATCTGTGATATTTGGTGATGATCTGTGATAACATCAATATGCAAAGACAATATGCAAAGCTGTCTTTGAAGCTACCGTTACCTAAGAATAGGGATTGAACAGCATGAGAATACTGTGCCCTTTGGCCAGTTAAATTAAATATGTTTTAATAAATGGTTTGCAGAGTAAAGGTAAATGATCATTTACTCTCACATCCTCTTATGACCTGGAATGATGCCTTACGTGGAAACAAGTGGTTCCCATGTCTTACCTAAGAGGCTAAGGAAATCCAAAGGGGGGCTTCCCATTTTAAATCCACTTGATGCCAAGATGTTCATCCAAAGACACATCCAGGAGGAGCAACAGCTTCCTACCTTTCACTTACGTGGATGTCCGTATTGCTGCAGTGTCTTTTCTGTTGCTTCTTCTGTGATTATGAAGCAAATACTGACTTGTGATCCACTTCAAGTCCTCACCACTGTGCTGTCCTGCAAGAACCATGCTGAAGAAGAGCCAGTTTTCCCTAGGCTTCTGCTAACCATGCCTAAGGTCTGCGGACCTTTGGTATGGTTAAACATATTCAAGTCTCCTGAAAGGTGAGACTCAAGGATACAGAGTCTTCGGTCAAACATATTCAAGTCTCTTGAAAGGTAAGACTCAAGGATACAGATTTATGACTTCCTAAGAGCCCATCATCCCTCAACGCTTTACCAGCTTGGGACCTTGTTTCCAAGGATGTTTATAGCTTCCTTCAAGTATGGATAGCAAGCTGTGCATGGCCTGCCTGTCAAGACACCTGGGCCATCCCTAGTGTCTTGGCCATTACCATTGCTAACAGCAGTGATCATGAATGGTACCCAAAAGGGAATCATAAGCAGTGGCCACATATCTTACTAGGAGGACTCATGTTCAGGACTCAAGAGGAGGCCCCTAACATTCCTGAAACGACATGGAAGGACTTTGTCTCAGCTAAGCAATGCTGACTCCCCTTGGGACCCAAGTCAAGGTCAATGAAAAGCAGCACATCAACATGAGAAGAGCATGAGTTTTAGGGCCACGTAGCTCTGGGTTCAAATCCTGGATCCATACTTACTTTGGGCAAGCCACTTGACCTGTTAGAGTCTGAGTATCCTCATCTGTAAAATGAGGTTGTTTAAACCTACGCGCTGCTTCAGAGCAAACATCACCAATGACTAAAATAATATAGCTAGACTCTGCTCCCAGATCCTCTTTGCTTTTCCTTTTTCCAGAATCTTCTCCCTCATCCCACAAATCATCCCTTGCAAGGACAGTCACAGCATGCAATTATCATTGCCACTTGACATGTATAATCATTTTTGTGGTGCTTCCACTGCTACTTCCATGTTTAATTGTGTGACTGACAGGACTAGAAAGGTGAGCCCTCTGGCTCCCAGTCCGGTTCCTTCTCCATCACCCCACACAGCAACGCCACATCCTGCCCACACAGCCTCATTTTCCTTCAAAAGACTACATGGGACCCAACAGCTCCCAGAGTCTGGATGTGATTCTAGGCAGCTTAGGTATGGAGGGCGGAGATGAGGCACACACACCTGCAAAAAGAAAAATAGGGTACTTGAAAATCACAAGAAGAGCTCTTGGCTGCTGTGCAGTGCTCCAGCTGAGTGGTTCTCCACTCCAGGAGGACGTTCTGAAGCTGGGAAATGAGATCTGTGCTGTCTTAGGAGCCCACAGCAAAGGGGAGGACATAAGGGTCTTCTTGAGGAGTTAGGCTGTGTGCTTGCAGCCCAGGGCCCCAGTCATTTGTCTGATTACCTTCCCTACTTCTTGAGAGAGTCACCGTGTTTGATCTAAAAAGAAAGGAGATTTCCAAATGAGGACTCTCACAGCAATATATTGATTTCCAGCAGGTGCGGTTTTGAGACAGTTTGTACTGCATGCTCTCTCCAGCTCTCAGTGTGCCTCGGACCCTATTGATTCTAGTTGGCTTCGATTCTGCCTTAGCATCCCGGGCAAGCACAGTTCTCCTGGCCCAAGAAGAGAAAATAAAGGTAGAGTGGCTCATCAGGGTAACATCCCTGCACTACAGCCATCAACCACACCAGGGGTGTGATTCCTCCCACTGCCGAGGACTCTGGCTAAGACACTGGTGTGACTTAGAGCCCTTAGAGCATTCATTTCTCATTGTTTAGAGAACCATCTTCATCCTCCCTGGAGGATGCACCCCAAGGTGGGAGTGCACCCCAAGGTGGGAGTGACGTCTGGTAGTTCTGCTTGTTCATAGTCAACTCAGTCATCTGTTGGAGAGAGAGAGAGAGAGCGAGAGTGAGCAAGAAAGAGAGAAAGAGGAGGGGAGAGAGGAAGGAAGCGGGAAGGGAGGGAAGAAGATAAGGCAAGACAAAGCAAAAGAGAGAGAGAGTGCGCGCTTTTTCTCTAGCCCCTTAGGAATTTATTCTCAGCAGGGGCTTAGCTTGGCTGGTTTTGCCAATGACTCCCTTGCACTTTGCAGATTCTGGATATACGTTTCCCTTAAGACTGGTTGTCTGCAGAATAGGGGAAACAAACCAGCACCCCCATAAATCAGCAGAGGTCACTGCCAAGAGCTTTGTACTCTTGCTGTCCCTGGTAATGATAAACTCATTGCATTTGGGAAATGGCCAAAGACCCTGAGTCCAATCTTAATTCTCATTCCCAGAAAAATCTCAGCTCTCTGTTTACCCACCCCCTGTTTACCGTCTTTGTGTTTCCTAGACAAAGCTGGCAAGGAGGAAAGAACACAGTTCCATAACTAGATCATCAAAGGCGGCCTTTTGTTGCTTGGGGGAGGAATTGTGGGGCAGGAGAGAGTCACAGGTCCCTAGGCTGTGGGAAAGAGAGGTCCAGGCCAGAGGGAGGCTGAGGCCATGGGCTGTGCACGGGGTGTGGGAGATCCACAGAGGTTCTCAGATTCTGTTTTTCTCACCTGCACCTTGAATCTGCTATTATTGCTTTGGTTAGTTTTCCCTTGAAGGATGGCTGAGGTTACAATGGTGGTCAAGGGCTAGCAATGGGATTGGCATGGTAAGACCACCTCACAGGACTCATCCTCCAATAGGCTGTGTCCTTATCCTCTTATCTTTCTCCCCACACCATCCTCACCTTGGTACCTGGCTTTGGAGTTGGCCACATGATATGGAGAAGATGAGAGTGGTGCCCAGGCTGCCCCTCTGACCCACATGACCTCTGCTGCCCTTTCCTCCTTGCCCCTTGATTGTCTTTCTCCTCTGATTGATGAGACTCTCCCTCCCCGCAATTCCCACAGAATTAGGAGACATATTTCTGTCTGTCTACTTAGATCTTTCCACCTTGATGAGAATCTTTCTGGTTGATAGACCACGATTCCCCACTTGTAGCAGGATAGGTCATCCCCAGCCACACGCATTCGTACTCTGTGCCTCTACTTCATCTCTGCAGCCCTTAGCTGAATTGGCTAAATGCATCCTTTTGCAAAGCCTATCTTGCCTAGCTGGATCTAAGCTTTATGACAGTAGGGACTTATTTGTCTTATTCAGGCTGTTATCTCAGTGTCTGACACAGTGCCCTGGCACCTAGTAAATGCTCAATAAATATTTGCTGAATATCATTTTGATTCCATGTTTAGGCATCTGCTTTATCCTGCTCTGTTTTGATGGACAAGTTCTTTCTTTTCATGAACCAGGCTTTTCCTCCCCACAGTGAGTCTACAGGAACTAGCTGGATCAAAGGGGAAATTTGGTGCTGAGCCAGAAGAGCTGGCTAGGAAAGGTTTCCTCACTTCTCATGGGGCAGCAGAGGGGTACTGTGAGATAATGACTGGGGATTTCAATTCCTTTGAGAAGTCAGAACAAGAGGCAGGGAACTGTTGCGTTGGAGAAGGGTCTGGAGAGGGTCCAGGCACTATGATAGGCCTTTCCAGATGACTCGGGAGCCACCTGGCTCTGTCAGCCAGAAAGAAGTAATGCTTGACACAAGGAGACAGTGTGTCATTTTTACTCTCGACTAACATTTGTACCTAAGCTTTAAATGTTAGAACAGTTTGACCGGGTGTGGTGGCTCACGCCTGTAATCCCAGCACTTTGGGAGGCCAAGGCAGGTGAATCACTTGAGGCCAGGGGTTCGAGACCAGCCTGGCCAAGAGGGTGTGAAACAGTGTCTCTACTAAAAAATATATATAAAAAGTAGCCAGGCGCGGCGATGCATGCTTGTAATCCCAGCTACTTGGAGGCTGAGGCAGGAGGATTTCTTGAACTCATGAGGCAGAGATTGCAGTGAGCTGAAATCACACCACTGCATTCCAGCCTGGGGAACAGTGTAAAGATTCCATAAAAAAAAAGTTAGAACAATTTAAAGAGACAACAAATTAAAGCAAAGACCAAGGATACCCCTCAGCCCGGGCTCCAAGACCATTAGGGATGGATGAGCCAAGATACTCATGTTACTCTGAACTGAGTGTAATCCTCACTCTCCTTCTATGCAGAGAGCAGGAGTTTGATGCAATCATAAACCCAAACAAGTATGTAGCCAGTAAACTTGCTGAACATTAAATTCAAACAGACATTTCAGTGAACATGTATATTTGACTAACATCTGATCCTGTGCTAGACACTATGCATCTATAAAAGATAAACACATTGTTCCTCAGGGCACTTAAACAAGAGTGGGCTGGATTTTTGTCTGAAATTTTCAGAAAAATACTTAGTGAAGTATGTTCCCACTAAGTTTGTTAAATCAGAACACGTCTGGACTATCCAAGTAGTCTCAGAACCAGGCCACTATTTGAGGTCAGGCATGGTGGCTCACACCTATAATCCCAGCACTTTGGAAGGCTAAGGCAAGTGAATCACTTGAGGCCAGGAGTTCGAGACCAGCCTGGCCAACAAGGCAAAACGTCGTCTCTACTAACAATATAAAAATTAGCGGGGTGTGACGGTGTGTGCCTGTAATCCCAGCTACTCAGGAGGCTGAGACATGAGAATCACTTGAACCTAGGAGGCAGAGGTTGCAGTGAACTGAGATTGCACCACCGCACTGCAGCCTGAGTGACAGAGTGAGACTTTGTCTCACAAGAAAAAAAAAAAGAACCAAGCCACTACTTAATTTCATTTGAGTCCTTCCAGTGGGTTTATTCAATTTGTAAAAAACACAAATTGAAGGTTTGTGGCAACCCTGCGTCAAGCAAATCTATCAGCACCATTTTTCCAATAGCATGTGCTCATTCTTTGTCTATGTCACAATTTGATAATTCTTGTAACATCAAGCTTTTTTTACTATTATTATATTTTTATGATTGTCTATGATTGGTGATCTTCAACATTACTATTTTAATTGCCCTGGGGGTGCCCACCTGCACCTGTATGAGACAATGAGCTTCATCGATACATGTTGTGTGTGTTTGTTTTCTGACTGCTCTACCAACCAGCCATTCGCCCATCTCTTTCCCACTCGTTGGGTCTCTCTATTCCCTGAAATGACAACAATATTGAAAGAAACAGGGATGAACAATATTGAAATTGGGCTGATTAATAACTCTGCAATGGTCTCTAAGTGTTCAAGTAGGAGAAATGTCTCTAACTTTAAATTAAAAACCAGAAATGATTACACTTAGTGAGGAAGGCAGTTGAAAGCCAAGATAGGGTGAAAGCAAGTCCCTTTGTGCCAAACAGCCAAGTTATGAATGCAAAGAAAAGGTTATTGAAGATTAAACATGCTACTCCAGTGAACACACAAATGATAAGAAAGCAAACAACCTTATTGCTGACGTGGAGACAGTTTTAGTGGTCTGAATAGAAGATCAAATCAGCTGCAACATTTTCTTAAGCCAAAGCCTAATCCAGAGCAAGGACCTATCTCACTTCAATTCTGTGAAGGCTGAAAGAGGTGAGGAAGCTGCAGAAGAAAAGTTTGAAGCTAGCAGAGGTTGGTTCATGTGGTTTACAAAAAGAAGCCAAGTCCGTAACATAAAAGTGCAAAGTGAAACAGCAAGTGCTGATATAGAAGCTGCAGCAAGTTATCCAGAAGATCTAGCTAAGATCAATGATGAAGGTAGCTATGCTAAACAACAGATTTGCAGTGTAGATTAAACAGCCTTATATTGGGAGAAGATAAATCTAGGGTTTTCATAGCTAGAGAAGAGAAGTCAATGCCTGGCTAAAAAGGTTCGAAGGACCAGCCGACTCTCCTGCTAGGGACTAATGCAGCTGGTGACTATAAGTTGAAGCCAATACTCATTTATTATTCTGAAAATCCTAGAGCCTTTAAGAATGATGCTAAATCTTTTCTGCCTGTGTTCTATACATGGAACAACAAAGTCTGGATGGCAGCACATCTGTTTGCAGCATGGTTTACTGAATACTTTAAGGTCACTGTTGAGACCTACTGCTGAGGAAAAAAATATTTCTTTCCAAATAATCACTGTTCATTGACAGTGCACCAAGCCATGCAAGAGCTCTGATGGAGAAGTACAGGGAGATTAATGTTTTCATGACTGCTAACAGAACAACCATTCTGTAGCCTATGGATCAAGAAGTAATTTCAACTTTTTAAGTCTTATTATTTAAGAAATACATATCATAAA